ACAGCCAGAGCCCATTTCAGCCTCTCGTGTTACCCCTGAAGACCACATAGGACGGTCTGACTTTCCATAAAATTCTTTTCTCTGCTTTCCAGCCGAGGGTTACGTGATGTGCTTCCACAATCTGGGAGGAGAAATATCACACGAGTGCCCCTGTGATGCTGCAGGCTCATTTTACATTCTTGGTGTCCTTTGTGAAAAGCCGACATGCTGCAAAGTGAAAACCAGAAAGACTTATCTAAAATATCTGTAATACCTACCAGCTGACTCACGGCATTATATAACGCAACATACAAGACATGAGGACTTTATTAAGGACAAACGATGACAAGTTTGTGCATCTTTTGAAATAAAAAAAAAACACATTTGTCTTTTTACAGAGTTTAAGTTTACACAATATTTGGTTCAATTTCAGACAATATTTTTGGTTCAATATCACACTTAATATTAACACTCTGAAGCAACTGTTGAACAACACATACTGTGTTTTTAGGGCCCCCATGACCAAATTGTAGCTATTAATTTAGAAATCCAGAAACAGCTTTGGTATTTGTTTTTAATTGATTTAAAAAAAAATCAATCTGAACATTTTTTCCCCAAATAAATACACATAGGCAGCATTTTTTGAAGTTATAAGACAAGCATGGATTCAATAAATAACAGAATTAAATTTTTAAAAAGTCTTTGAACTACACTTAAATACCTCAGTCCTCCTGGACAGAGTTTACACATTACTACATTGATGATAAGAGCTGAAATGAATAATTCACAGCATTGTACTTCCAAACATTCCAGAAAAAGGTGAAGAAACTGAATCATCTAATGAGCAGACATGTTTCATTTGGGGTTTCTGATCTTTAAATAAGTGAGGGCTTACTATATGTGTAACAGCACTATTTCCCAAAGGCGCCAATTGAAGTCCTGCTGACAGTAACATCATATATGATCTACAAGGGGGAGCTGAGAATCTGCTAATGATCCTGTAGAATTAAGCAGAGTTTTCATACCTTCAATGTGTGTAAAAGGTCTGTTTGTAAATTGAAACAAAAAACCATGTGTACTCCCAATGATGTCCTCTCATGCAGGGACACAGTTCTCATTGCATTCATATTGGCATTTCAAGGTTTGTTTTATGTAGACGGTGAAATTCCTGAACATGAAATCAATGGTCTCTCATCTCATCCTGTGGCCTTAAATGGGTGTGTTTGCATTTTCTGTTGTTAGCACGGACATCCTGATCCCAATCTAACTACTGCATTGGAGCTGATGTCTTTTAATAATTATTGATTGGCAATTTAAGCCCAATCATGTATGTCAGCCACAATATAAAAAGGACAACAACACACAAGTAGTACAGTCTAGTATTCTGGGTTACCATACATGTACTAAAAGCTCCTACGAGGAGCTTCCTGTTTGTGTCAATTCTGGTGCTCCCAGTGGATAAAGCAGTCTTTGCTAACCTTGTCTCTTTACTCGCTTTACTCACTCCTGACTTTTGACAACCAAATATGTCATTTATTGTAAATATTTAAAGAGCAAAATAAAAATACAGATCTTTTATCCATCTGCTTAGCTGAAACCTACCCCCTCACACTAGTTTCTTGCATTTAAAATAACAATATAAGAATGGCCAATCTTATCCCTGGTGGTCTTGTTTGCTTTTGGATATAAAAAAGCATCAGTATATGAATTTCAGTCTATTTCATCAACATCAAAAAACTCCTCACAGGAGCTTTAATAAGAAAATGATGAATGAAACATCAATGAACTCCAGCCATGGCTTCAACTTTATTGCACAAGCCAGCCAGATTACAACAAGAATAACATCTCTCCCTGTAACTCTCCTGAGGAGTCGGGGTTCAAAAAGCAAAGGCATAAACGTAGCACATCCTGTTACTTAAGTATTAGCCAATATAGAAACATGCAGAGCTAGGCAAAGTTTATGGGCTGCTGAGATTGTACCACGTTTGATGCCACATTCATTGCATCATTTATATCATTTTATCACCTTAGTATCATTACTTCAAAACAAAGCCTTTCCTTGAACTTAAGCTGGTACTTTCTGTACTTTCTCTAACTTAAACTTTATAACTTGACCTTGTGTTTGACTGATTCACCTGGTGTGTCCATTACAGATACTCTCCAAAAGTAAAATATGTGTGCTTCGGAGGAATTGGATTTTTTTATGTTGTATAATTTTAGTAAGAGGGCTTCTTACAGAAAGCAGGATTGCTATTTGACATCAAACTTGTCCAATTACTCAGTATATTAAGTGAGGCTAATCTTCAGAAAACCTTGTTCTCTACTCACAAAGGAGCACTTATGTATGAAGCCATCTAGCTGCAGACCTGGGAGCTCAGTGCACTTCATCCTCAAATAAAAAACCCTTCCTACAATTTATTATTATATTTTGCAGCAATATTTAATTTGTCCATTCAGAGGAGTGGAAAGGTCAAGTTGTGGTCAAACTGCAGCGCTTTTCAATTTAAAAGATGAAAGACATAACCTTTAAACAGCTTTCTATTTTTTTTCCTTAACCAAGCTTTACACAAAACACTGGAAGATTTCTCAGAATTATGCATTCGTACATCCTTCAGGTGACAGCTGGTTGGCCTTCACGTAGATCTGTGAACTTCTGGTGTGAATACGTGCTGATGGCAGATTCATCTTTTTTTTTTGTATTTTGATGCATGTTTACTCTGCAGATCAAAGATTTAGTTTGTGTATTTTTCCTGTTTGACTTTATTTCAGCCCTTCTGTGGACTCTTTTTATTTTATTTGGTTTTGTATTCTGCTCATATGGATTCTGAAAATGGTTTCCATGTTAGTCATTTACAAGTTTCTACCAAACCCAAGCATGCTCTAGATATTTATTGTGCCATATCTGATTTGTCTAACTCATAACCAAAGATTTATAAATAAAGATGTGGGGCTGTGCGTTTACTTCACTTAACAATTTGATGTCATGCTAGCTAGCTGGTAGCAGAATTACTGTCTGTTAAACAAGTTTATTAATATTTCTATTGGGGTGGGAGAAAAAGTTCGATTCACATAAGTATCGTGATTTTTTGTTTTACAATTTCAAATTGATTTTAGTGTTCAAAAATCAAGACAATCATAATCATTCAACTGTTTCATTGGTGTTAAAAATGTGGACAAAAGATCGAGAAAATTGACAAGATCATAGAATTGCAAATTAAATGGAATCGGCATCCAAAAAACTGTAGAAGAATCGAATCAGGAGAAGAGCTTATCGTCCCATCCCTAATTTCTATTATTAAAGTCATACAGTGTTGATCCTATTATCACACTGCCTCTTCCTTCTTTCCACTCCACTTGCCTGGACTGTAGCTGACGAATGCTCTAATGCTATAATAGTTTACCACCTGAATACAAACAAGGACAGATGACTGATCATGTCTCACGTGGGGCCCATCTTTCAGAGTATCTTGATCAAGAAATGGAGATAAAGTTGTAGGCAGGCTGTGTCTTGATAACTCTGCATAGCCTACAATCCCTTAAAGGCACAAGGACATTAACCTGAAGGGATGACAGATGGTTGGCGGTTCTGGCTCTGCTTACATTAGCTACACTCGGGAAACCAATTCAACATATAATATATTATGAAATGTGTTCAAGTTTGAGTTTTCAGAAAGTTACTTTGATACCATTCAGTAAGTCGTGCTCTTAATTTCTATTTACAAGGACCTAGTAAATAGAAATAGCACAGTGTGGAGAGGAACACAGGGTCATGAACTTCAAACATCCTCTGTGAAATGTGTTTAATGTCTTAGTAATCACTGCCTACAAACCTTGTATAATTTGTATGTGAACCAGATGGTAACCTTGTGAATTATTTCCTCCATCATCGTAGCAGAAGTGAATCTATTTAACACTGAAACTTGATCAATGAGAGAGCATGCTTGAGATGCTCTTACACTAGTCTGTGCAGTATTTGACAAAGGAGGAATTGGATTGTGTGGATGCTCATCCTATTATACGAGAAACAAACCTAACAAGATTTGGATGTGATGGTAGGAGAACATTAATCCTTGTGGCGTTTACTGTCAAACCGATATACATTATTACACAGAGTGAGCCAAAGAGACACAAGTACTGTCTCGCTGTGATTTTACACACACGAACTGATCTGAACCCATTAACAGCTGATCTGTCCCCTCTGTTTGTTTGTGCAGATCCTGGGCCTGGTCTTCTCCATGACGATGTTCTGCCAGTCAGTGAAAGTAGAGACCTTCTACGCCTAGCAGACGCCCTCGCTGCCCTTCAGCACACTTGGATTGTTTATCATCAAAGAGGGACAGATATAGACCCACCCTCCTCCTCCTCCTCCTCTTCCTCTTCCTCCTCCTTCTTCTTCTCCCCCGAAAAGACTCTTCTCCCGACACTTGTCCTCTCTGTGACATTCCCTCTTGGGTGTCGTTCACAGTTTTTCTGCTAACTATCAACAAGCACAGTGTCAGTGTAATACCTGAGTTGGTTTCTATGGTTTGCTATGTGTAAAAGCTAATTTCTGTGATACATTTTATGAAGCAGTATTACAAACATGTATGAAAAGAAAATGTAACTCTCCCCCCCCACCACCTTTTTTTAATATGTGTTTTCTTTTAAATTATTTTACAGTTTGTATGTGTTTATGAAAATGCGAGCTACAGTTGGGAAGGTGCACAGTGTGAAGTGCTGCAAGTGCATGTCTCCTGCCATGGTGTGTATTAAACGTTTTGGCTCGACTCAAAAAAGAAAAAAAAGCTAACGTCATCTTGTCATTTCTCAACTGGGATGCTGAAAGGTTTCGTGTGTAATCCTGCTTTATTATTTCCTGACACCATTGGATGACAAACAGGAGGGGCTGGGGGGGATTTTCAAGGAAACGCCACATCCAGTTGTTGATGTTGTCCTTGTGCTGTGGCACGCTGGAGTCATTAAAATATTTCGTGACATCTGACTAATGGGGCTCTAATGAGATATATCTGATGAAAATTAAGCGCTTTGGGCTTTCATGCATGTGCTTTTTTACATCACAAATTAGCATGGGTGATGAGAAATGTACAAACTTTAATAAAAATATCCTGTTAGAGGATTTCTCATGAATAATAGTAGGATCCTCCAGACTGGCCTGGAGCGATTCCCCCCCCCAGCACCAATCACAGCTCAAATGACACAGATTCATCTGTAGTCTTTGAAGCCTCCTCTGGCCCTTTTGTGACTCTTTAAATTCTTCCTTTTTCTTCCAACCTAAGGCCGTCAAGAATAATCCAGGCTATAAGTACACCAGAGACATACTTTGATTAAATAGCCCCATAGGAGAAGTGCCTTAAGAGAGTGTTTTGAGCAGCATTCAGGGATTCAAAGCACTGCAGGTGCTGCAACTCCTCATGCATTTGGAAAGGTTTTTTTTTTTCCATCCTTTGCTACTATTATCCTGCCTCAAACAAACTGAACCTGCGAGAGCAAAAGTCCCAAAGCAATCAAAACAGAGGGCGCAATTCAAGCCTCCCCCCCGAGGTCGCCATCCCGAGAAATCACACAGATCAGTCAGGAGGTGGAGCTATGACAGGAAACTTTCCATTTTTTTGTTCCTGGTTCACAAAGTTTTCCCGTCTCTTCTAGTTATTCAGAATAAAACATCTTTCCTTTTTCTTTCCAAACATACACAGGAATCAATGTACTGTGTGTAGGGCTGGAGAGTTGAGTGGTGCAAACAGGAACAACTATTAGATATTCTTCACAAGTGTAAAGCCACCAATCTAACTGAGGCTGCAAAACAAAACAATTTTGAACACAATCACGACTTTGGCACTCCAGTGATCAAGAAAACAATTGACAGCAATTGTAGACATCTAAAACACATACTCCACTCATAGAAAACTCTACAGCTATGCACCTCTCACACAGCAGCTTCTCCCACCCCGCCTCTTCCTTTCTTTTTATCCTGGATGTGTCCTCTCTGCTGACGATATTTATCAACAGTACATCTCATTAGGTCACAGGTAACCCACGTGATGAAGAGGCTTGATATTAACAACAGAGCATCTCTTAAATCAAAACTGGGAGTGAGAGCATGAAGATCAAGTGTGTGTTAGTAATAACAGTATTAACGAGCAAGGGGAAACACCAATATGAGCTATCATGCAGCCACAGGTAGAGAGGAGAGAGCAGGAAGAGGAAAGGGAGGAAGAGGTGTTTGTATAAAGCTAAAGGGACAAGATGACAGCAGAGGGAATGCAGGAATCTCAAGCACACATGAAAGCTAACAGGCTAACAACACTCTCAAAGTAGAGTGAAGAACAGATGCACACTCTGTATATACTCTTGTATATAATTTTCTGAAATGTATATGACTCAGTTGGACAAGCAGGCGTGATTAGGAAAACAAAAAAAAAAGGTTTTCTTTTCAAGTTATGTTTTGGAAATTTGAAGTGTTTAGGGGTTTTAAGTTGCATAAATGCATCTGATGCAGAGGTCAAACAATGAGAAATGTTTTTGTGTTTTAAACTGTGATTCCTAATTTAATCAAAATAATTGCAATTTGATGTCTGGTATAATCAAGCAGCTCAGAATCTAAAAATAGAGGAAAGATGTGCAAATTACAGTGCCACAAAAAAAGGAAAAAAAAGAAAAAAAGAAAAAAAAGTTGTAAAATGAACATCACCAACTAAAAAAAGCAACTGACAGGGAAATTGGGGATGTCCATTACCACAGCCACGATTTCAAAGCAGCATAGTCATTAATATATTTAGAGAGATTTCTGCCACATTCACAGAAAGTGGACAGCATTGACAGCCTCCAGCTGACAGCCTCATTTACATAAAACCTGACAGCGCTCAGCTCCTGCAGGGCAGGTTTCTGTTTTTAGTCCGACACATGCTGTAGTTTAGGGGAGAGTGCTTTCATTAAATGTAGCAGAGCCTGCTTGATAATCAAAACTTCAAATCAGATCAGCACAGAGCAGTGCCTGATCATGGATTTACTCTCGTGTCCTAATCTTATTTCGCTAGTTATTGAAAAAAAACGATACAGCGAGCGTACTTTTCTTTTAAGTTGTCTAACTGTTGGCTTTTACCTTACATATAGACTGGTCTGACTTTCCAACCTGCTCCATCACTGGCATAAAAATTGCACACAGCTGGTGCACTGTGCTCCAGGTGACTGGATGTACCATTGTGATTCATAAAAATCAAATGCCTTGTCTTCAACGGAGCCACATCTCACTGCCTCTAATGTCTTACTGCAGTGAATGAGTCACAGACTTAAGCACCTGTTTCCTTGAAATATAAATATGTTTATCTTTAAAAATCCAGACGCTCTTTAACTAATTGCTACCACCCTGAAGGAAATCTGTGCATCCTCGATTGCGTTTACAGTAAAAACTTTCTCCCAAGCTGTAAGTCTTTTTTTCCCCCACTATCTGTATCTTTATTCCTTGAGCTGCATCACCCTGCTGCAGTCGGTGATGGACTTGTCTGAGGTCTCCAAACAACCTATATATACCCTATATGACCCTATATGTACTGTTGATGAAGTTAGGTGCTGTTCTGAGCATTATTTGTGGTTATAGAGTGGCGTTTTGGTTGAGGTTTGTTCATGGCTCCTCAGACCGCTGTGTATTGCTATCCTGCGGTCGTTACTAAAGTTGGTATAACTAGAGAAGCAAACGGTCGGCAACATTTATCTCTCAACTCAGTGTTACAGGGCCAGAAAATCGCTTTAAATAGGATGGAAAAGTCATTTGTACTGACCAAGTATTTTCAGTTTTACACAAACAGCACAGAAAATATATAGTATCAGTATTTGGCCAAAAACAAGCAAAAAAGATTTTCCTGGATATTCTAAGAAATATTTGTTGCTTGTATTTCCTTGAAAACATGACACCATGTTGACGATTCATCAATATAATACAATACAAAAAACTTTATTGATCCCCAAAGGGGAATTCGTTTGTCTGGAATCTGATCTAATCCACTATTTCTAGAAGAATTAAGAAGTCTGGTGGTTGTGGGTACAAAAAATCTTCTCAATCTTTGAATCATGCAACCTTTTTTTTCAATTTGCCTCCCCTGAAATAATATTGTAAGTATTCATGATTATCCCACCCCCCATGGTGCTCTGCTGTGTTTAAATCTTCCAACATAAAGCGCTGTGGTTTCGGTTAATGTTAATCAGCACATGCAGTGAGGGTTCCTCTTGCTACTACTGCTTTTAAGGAAAACATAAATGAGCTTAATTACTTCGTGCAACCCAAATCATCTCATGGAAATTCAAGGGTCCTGGAAATACCTTTAGAAGTAGATAATGTTATCTAATCCACTTTTTTTTTAATGGATCATCAAAATGTAGTTCTCTGGAAAATGAGAGCTGATTAAATCAGTTATGCATGAGTGGCACAAAATGGGACTTCCTTCCAGTAATTGTGCTGATCTTTTTATGGCTTTTATAAAAGCTAGCACACACAGAACTTCCGACTGAAATGATGGCAGTTAAAAAGAGCGCTTCCCAGGACTGACTGTTTTATGTGAGTGTTTTTGGATGTTTTCCTGCAGATCATCTCTCTTATCTCTATTAAAACCTTTCACTGGATTCATACCAAAACTGTTTTTCAGGCTTTGGATGTCGTTAATGTTTTGGAGTCTTGCAGGGCATCATGCTGCATGATGCCTCCATTAGGCCAACTCTATGTTTTCCATTTATCGTACACTATGAAGGCATGCGGGCATCTCAGCAGGCAGTTGTACAGGGTCATACAGAGGTTTACAGCTCAATAGCTCAACAGCCTATCACATGGTTGACATACAGACTCAACTTTCACACATTTTTTTATCAGTGCAGCACACTTTTCCCTCTTTTTTTTTTTTTTTTTTTAACAGGACATCAATTTCATGTCAAAACCCTGCAAATCTTTCACTTGATCAAAATGTTATTCAAGAGTAAATGAGGGGGCTCCAGACTGTGTCAGGTCACAGCTGGCTGTGCTCTGTAATGTGAGGATAAATTTGCAATTTCAGAAAAATCTCAGGTGTCAGTCTGGCTGATAGACCCTTGGACCAGCAGAGGTATTATGAGGGAAGGTTATAGATTTGCTTTTCGCTCACTTAACAGACTCCCACAATCAATCTCCCGCTCTGAGAGGTAGTTTAAAAATGTCAAGACAGATGTAGAGAACTCCCGCCTTCACACCAAACTCAAACCTGAGCCAGCAGCTTTTCACACGCATTGATTCTGACTGTTTGGTCAGAAATAACCTATGGACCCTACACTTGTGTTTTCATGCAGTAGTCTTATTGAGGTATAAGTCAACTTTATGTGCTCTGCTCACCAGAAGCAGTTAGAGCCTCAAACGGCTTCACAGTGCCTGCATTATGAAACAATAAATGAAAACAATAAATGAAAATGACATTTTACATCCCCTGGCCTTCAGCGACACCAAGAAAGACAACTCCAACTAAAACCTCATTACACAAAATGGACCCACTGTTAAGTTTTATCCTCAGCTGAAACTTGTAAAATCCACAAAAACACGTGTTCACGGGCTTTTGTGTAGGACTCTTCCATTTACTGTACAGGCTGTGCATTTACAGCATAAGATGGTTCACAGTGTGGTCATAATAAAGTCACTATAAAAAAACAAAAAGGTATTTCTGAGTTTAATATGAGTCTTCATTAGCAATGACTGATGTGAACTTAAAGACACTAACCTCAAGTTTAAAAAAAGGACACAGGTTAGCTTGTATTGCATCTGCTTCATAAATAAGACAAATACATACTACCGTTTCACATGGGGAGTCAAATACTGAATGCATGTGTCCAGTGAGACAAAAAGAGCCTCAAGGTTTTACCTGCAAAATGCTGCAGAGAGGACCTCTAAAAACAACCACAAAGTTACTGTAAATGGCCTCAAAGAGACTCACAACAGCATCACAGGGACACAAGATGACCCTTAAGATGCACAAAAGCAGTGACCAAGAAACCATAAAGTTACCGCAGACTCGAACCAACTGCAAAGGGACAAAAACCAGCACAAATAGAAGTACAAAACAGCAAGGCAGGCCAGTTTATGTTACATTTTTTCGCAACAAGGTAACTCAAAGGGCTTTGAAAACAAACTGGAGAAGCAAAAGAGGAGCTGGACAGAAAATATAATCAGTAGGTAGAAGGAAAGAGCAGTAAACAATCACAAAGAGACTCAGGAGTACTGTAGGAGAGTTGGAAAAATACACCAAGAATGCAAAATAACGACAAAGACTCAAGTATAACAACCAACATACACCAAACTACTACCACCGCTGACATTAATGGTACAAATGATTACAAAAAAAGACAAAAAGCAGGAATTAGTGACCCATTGTAAACACAAAGAGACACTAAAGGACTGTAAGGAAATACAAAGTGACCAAATATTGACTAACTGACCACCAAGATGCACAAAACAACCATAAAGGGACACTTGGAGACTTTAAAGTGACTATACAAGAGCTCACAGAAGCGAGGACCCAATAGAAACGACAAAGAGGTGTGAAGTACATTCAACAAAGACACCCAAAAAACTGAGATGAAAGTACTACACAGGAGCGAAATAACCACAAGAAGACAAAGAATGAACAGTGACAGACAGTGACTCAAAACAGAGGTGTTAAAAAACAACAACAACAAAAAACACTACACAAGGCGACACTTTGTGATCCTTTCTGTCTGTCTTTCTGTTATTTCTACCTTCTGTCTGGGTGTCTGACTGTTACAGATTGTGGTTGGGGGGGCTGTCCTCTATACATGTCAGTGCAGAAAGGAACAGCCAGAGGTGAGCACCTGAATGCAATAGAGTGGGATAAGCCAAGAGTGATGAAACTACTGACCTGTAATCAGCTTTTCAACATGCAAAAGACTGCAACCGTCTCAGTGTGTGTTCCCATTCAGACCTGAGCATGAGGCGCCTCAGGAAAATCAGCTCAAACCCCAGCATCCCCTCTTGTCCTTCTGTTGCCTCTTGAATTTACCTCAACCCTTCAGCAGGTCTCTGTTTCCTTTCCTCCTGGTCTTATGTATTATTCATTCTCATGTTCACGGGCTTTCTCCCATCTCGTGCTTGATCAATAAAACATACCTGTGTGCTTGCTCCCTCACCTCTCCATCCTCTCGTCGTCTTCTTCAAGCCAAACCGGCGTGAGCCCACACTGCGCTGATGAAACAGCATAGATAGATGGCCTTTTCAAACTGGAAGAAAATGACTACATTTCTCTCTGCTGTGTGAGTTGGGTCCCTAACATAGGTTGTGAAATGAAGTCACCCGTTTGACACATGCAACGACTTTCCCTCCCATGATTCAGAGATGCTGTCCTCTCCAAGAACACCTACAAAAGAGTCCTACTACCACAAAGAAAAAGAAGAGCCCAGAATATTTATCACCACTGAACCGTTTAAAGGGCACCAGGTTTGGCCACTGCTCTCAAAACCTGTGACAGGGTGAGCAGCCGGGTTGGATGGATAAAATTTTAACAATTTAATAGGTATGTATCCTAAATTTAATGACTATCAATACATGAGCAGAGAAACTAATATGAAGATACAGATTTCCTATTCCAGCAGGACCTGCTACCTGCACACGGCACCGATATTACCAGAATCTGGTTTGTTGACCGTGGTATTATATGCTAGATTGGCCAGCCAACCCGCCTGACCTGAACCCTACAGAGAGTCTCTAGAGTATGGTCAAGAGACAGATGAGAGACATGCAGTCAACAATACAGATGAGCTGAAGGCTGCGGTGAAGGCCACCCGGGCTTTCATAACACCTCAGCAGAGCCACAGACTGAGAGCCTCTATGTCGTGTCACATTGATGCAGCATTTCATGCGAAGGGAGCCTCTACCAAGAGCTGAGTTCATCAATCAACATAATTTTCCAGGAAGTCCACATTTCTGTTTTATAAATTGCTGTTTTGTTATATTTTAATGTTTTGAGATGGAGGAGTTTTGATTTCCATGAGTTTTAAGCCGTAATTGTCAAGATTTAAATTTTTTTTAAAAAGAGAGAGCCTTGAAAAAGTTCATTTTGTGTGTGATGAATCCAGAATATATGTAAGTCTCACTTTTTGAATGAAATTATGGGGAAAAACGAACTTTTTCATGACATTCTCATTGCTCATTTTCCGAGCTGCACCTGTATTCTAATTTGCTCATCTCAGCTTTTCTGATTCCATTTCTACTGTCAAACTCTGCGATTACATCCAAGTTTTTTGCATCACAGAAATCAAAGGGCCTTATGTTTGTTGCTTGGGTTATGACTTTATTCAATGAGTTTGCACCAAATATTGATTTGAACTTTATTTTACTTGATTTTGTTCCATGGCTGCATTACATACTTGAGTCATTACCCCGTGGAAATGGTCTGTTATTGCCGCACAGCAAACTCTGGCTTTGAATGTGGTTCTGATCACAGATTTCTGCAGACTTACGGTAATCATATCATCTGTTGAAAGAAATCTGGTCGATTTGGTGCCAGTTGGTTTATAGTGGGGAAAAAGAGAGACTAAACTGGGGGCTATGGCAGAAATGTCTGCAAAACTAAAGATACATAAATTTAATGCCTGGTAGAACACTAAGGGTGGACATATATTGATTTTTCATGGCAGACACCAATACCAATCTGGGTTACTGGAGGGTTATGACACCAGAAACCGATATTTGGAACCATCATGTACTAAAAGTAAAAGTGCTGAACTGTCCTGGTGGTCCCATTGTGATTATCAGCTTCAGACCATTAGAGCTACGAATAAATCTCCAGTGGATTTGAATGTGCCAAAATGCAATCAGAACATATTCAGTACCAGTTCTAGTTCAGCTTACAGTCCACTTAAAGGTTTGCCATCATTCAATGTTGGAAAGAACCAAACATACAATACAATAATCACTGATTGTGCCTCTCATGTTTGAACTTACTGATGGCTGAACTGATGAAAACCCTTGATGGTAGCTGATGAAAATGATCGAAAGGAAGGCCAGCATGAAAGACTCCTCATTAACCCTGCCATTTAAGTCAAAAACTCAAAAAAAGCCAGAGGAAAGCCGATTTGATTTTGCTTGAGTATCAAGACACTCAAACATCACGCAGACATGATTATTAAGCATCTCAGTTAAAAAAGAGTAACCATGGAGACATGTCAAAACATGACATCTAGAAAAGCTGAATAGTTGCACCTCGCAGCTGTAAATCAAAAATTACAGCTGCTGATGGAAAAACAGCTTTATTTTACCGTTAAGTTTCACTATTTAATTCATTGCATGCCACGATGCAACTCTGTAAAGGTAGAAAAGACACACTCCATTACTTTGATAGTTTAGAGAGCTTACTACAATATGCTATAACCTGAGGACATTGGATGGCTGTGGGGAATACCCCCTGCCTGGATTGTCTGTCTTGGATAAACAAGACCTCTTTTAAGCTTTAGGATGCACACTGGGCACAAAATCTACATCCAAACATCCAAAATGTCTTTGTAATTAGAGTGGAGCAGATAGAGAGATTTACAGTGGTTGGTCCTATTATGAACATATCATGGGAGCGGGTTAAATAATAACAGTTGTCAATCTTGCTTACACTAAACATTATATCTGAGGCAACAATCACAGTTTCAGGCCTTAAGCCGTAGTCCACTGAGACTTAATGCTCCAGGCGATGCTGAGATACGCCTTGGGCCTTGAGGCAGCTCTGACCATGCTACAGCTTTTTCAGGGGATTTTGAAGGCAGAGATTTGGGGCGACAATAGCCAAACAATGAACCTTCAAGTTATAAACTACACTGAAGGGTACATAAAAATGGTAAAATCATTTGCAAACAATGTAGAAGTCTGTAGTAATTATCCTAAATATGTTGCACTTCCATTTGGGTACATAGAAGTAAGATATTATACCCAGGTCTCTATCCCGCAGTTGATTATTGCTTCTGAGCTTACGATATCTTTCAAATTCATTGCCATAAAATCAAACTTAAATGATGTACTAATACTCATACTGTATTAGCAATTACACGGACACGTGTAAAGCCTTCAGCTGGATTCATTATTACTATATATCCCATGGGTAGCCATAGCAACTTGGAATTGTCTATAGTAAAGTGGTGGATTCAAAGTTGTCTGGGAAATACACGTATGTAAAAAGACTCTACGGGTGTTAGTGCCCTACCAGATGAAAACTACAAAAAAGGAACTGAATTCTCCAGAGACCAAAATACTTAAAGACTTTTGTTTAGTAAGCTTGTGGCTCTGTGTCTGATACTTGTTTACTTCATTACAAAAGATAAGATATTCCTTTAATAGTCCCACAGGGGGAAATAAGAGATACTTTTCAATAAAATGAGGAGTTTAATTCTGTTACTCCAGATTTTTGGGAGCTTGATGACTTCTTGAAATTAAAAATGCTTCAGGAGAAGAGACAGGGCATGTTGTAATCAATAAGTCTCAGGACTGCACCTAATCTGAATGATTTTAAAAGTAAACTGAAAACGTACCTTTTTAGTCTTGCTTTTAACTAAATTTTATACCACTAACTTTGTTGAAGTGTTTTAGCATTTATCTATTCTTGTTTTAGTCACAGGATCGTAATCTATGGGGCTATTTAGATGCTCTTATTTCAGTATCTTTTGCTGTTGTTTTTATTTCATTTCATTTATTATTTCTTAAATTTTATTCTGTTTCTTTGTTTTTAGATTTTAACCTGAACCTCCAGTGTTTCCTTATCTTGAGTTTTAAAATGACGTTTCCTCAGGGCGCACATTCCTGTTTTCACGAAATCAAGCCCTTTTTAAGTTTATGCATTTTAATACTGTTTCTGCTGCATTTAGTGGGGTGGGAATGAGGGGTTGGGCTGGGGTAGATTTGGGTATTCTTTTAATCTTGGGCTGGGGTAGACTTGGGTATTCTTTGTTTCTTTTATTCCTTTTTATGTGTAAAGCACTATGTGCTACATGTTGTGCATGAAAGGTGCCAAGGTTCTCACTTGCTATGTGAGAACACCAAATCTGAATAAAACTCAAAGATCTCAGTTTATGATTTTTGTGATAAAACTCTTTTGTTTTGCTTTTATAAGTTTTGTTTCCTTAAGAAGTAACTTAAACTTCAGGGTTTTCATTTCATTTCTGTTGACTCTAGAGCTGCAGCTGTTGTTGAGCTCCAGTCCTCGGTGTGTAATTAGGGATGGTGAGGGTCTACACACTTTCTGATGGTGATACAGTTGGTGGTGGCACTCTTGATTGGTGTTGTGTTTTCTGTTTGAAGTGTGGGTTTTAGTTTGTGTTTTGTTCTTCCCTAGTGCTTATACTGCCTCTACCTCCAGTGCTTCAGCTGTGGGTGGTGAGTTTTCTGGCCCAGATACAACTGACTGTCCTTTTCTTTTCCTGCTGTGTTTTGGTAAACGTATATAGGCAGTTATTATAGACAACCCACACCATTTGCTGTGGCTTCTTTAAGTTTCTCTCTGTGTGTATATCTAGCTCTTGTATCTCCATTCAACTTTTCGTCCCAGGTTTTAACAGACCTGAAGAAACATACAAACTTAAGCCAATTATCTGCCTGTCACTGGTTTGTTGCTCAGTTGTACAGTCTAAACTTCTCAGTATTGTTTACTGGATTATAGAGTCCTTCTGTCAACGCATTTCCCACTCCAGCTATGACTCTGCTTCAGATATTGGCACTTTGTGATTTTGAAAGTTTTTAGCTTTTTTAGTATGAGCCACTCCACTTGAAATGCTTGTCACAAGACCGTCTTCAAAGCAGACTTTTTGGCTCCTCACACAAAAAATATTCACAAATGTGATTGAAAATATTTCTAAGTTTTTATTACAGTTTTAAATACATCTTTTTTAGCTGGTTCCAGGTTCCTGCTGTGGTGCATGCCAATGCTGGCTCACTGGCTTGACCAAATGGCACTTTTGAAGAAAAAATCTATTTCTTCAGTGCTTTTTTCTGCTCTGACAAGGTAAGATGTCTGCTGCACAGCAAGTTGCGGTGAATGCTAACTCCCAATCACTCAAATCCCCAAGAACAAAACCTTAACAGACTTAATTTTGGGGCTTAGGGATCTGGCCAAACACAAGAGAATATTTCTGAATTTTCATTCACCAAACTTGACTAACAGTTTTAATTAATATGAACACCATATCCTCAGCAACTTTTCACCATAACCCTTTCTTATCCAGTAAGTGCGATGCGAACAGGATTCCACTAATTTTGCTTGCCTTGTAGTGGGTGTTTGTAGACTCTGACAGTCTTGTGCATCTCATACTGAGACATCCTTCTTCCACTTGGCTACATGCCATGCAAGATGTTGAAGTAAATGGTTTGTGCCGCCTTTCAACAAACTTTGCAGCAAACTGTAATTTGTTTAGGGCCACAAAACTGAACAAGACTGAGGAACAAATCTAATTTTTGAGAACAAATCAGCGACAATCACTGACAGCCATGTTGCTGCTGTGTGTCTGTGTGGGAAATGGGCGAGGGTTTAAGCTACGGGACCCCTAAGGGAGCATCAGAGGACGTTGTTAAATCAGCCTCTCTATAGAGGTTATTTTCACCTACATGTTGAAACTTCACTGGGCAATTTTGTCCAATCAAGCCCCCCAAGGAAGTCTCTTGCAGCCCAACCTTCACCCTACAGGAAATCAGCAATTTTGGATTGACTGTCAAATTTCTATATATATCTGGGTTTGACACTGACTTTTTTTTTTTTTTCCCCAAGGGGCACATGTGCCCTTAAGTTGAAAAAGTAAAGAGCACAAAAAAGAACTTAAAGGGGCACAATGAAAATTTATCAAATAATACTTGTCTTATTGGTCGACATAAGTACGATTATTTGAAATCAATTTTAGGTCTTTTGGTCACATGATATGGAAGCAATTGAATGAAAGGTTCAAAATTTGCCTTTAAATTTAACACAAAAATACACACAAAACACACAAAAAAATTATTAGAGAACAAATTAGGGAAATAAAGAGGTGTGTCTTATTGCCCGACTTTCTTAGCCTAGTATTATTTGAAAACAATTTTAGGTCAATTAGTCACATGACATGGAGGCTATTGAAGGAAAACAGCCTTTTTTGAGAACATCAACCAGTAATTTATTGACGGTCCCTTATTAGACACTGGATATTGACAGTGAGGCTGCCGGGTAGATTTAACCACACTGCTGTTGCTATTCCTGGTTGTGGAGAGTGAGTTGTTTTGTTGTTTTTTAGTGGTTCTACATTTTAAAAAGCTGATACAAAAAGTCAAACATAAGCATGCAGACACCTGCAGATAGGAAGACTAATGAAGAGGCAAATTAGATGCTCAAATGCTGATAACAGACTCATCATACACTTGAAGTTTAAAGGTTAGACAGTTTTGGGACCAGGCTATAGTGTGTATTTCATATTTAAAGCCCCTCTCAGTTCACCAAGCTTGTCTGTGTCGTTTGGCCTTACAGTGACACAACAGACAGAGAGCTCTATGCCACTAACTATGTGAATTTTTCAAAATATCTTGGACATCAGTGGACTTACAGTCTCTCTGCCAATCACTCAAGGCCCCTGAAAGTCTATGGCAGTTCTCTCAGTTCCCACGCAGTTTCACAGTGAAAGAAAATGATGTGTGCTCACTTGGTTTGACTTTGCAGTGACCGTGTAAAGCCAAAAAGGCAGCACTTGGCTGCCTCTCCTGCAGGTGGCCATCCATCAACCCTTGGCTAAGTCTGTTAAAGTCTCCACCAGTCAACTGACACGACAAATTACAGTGCAATTTGTAAACAGCTGAAAACAACTACCACATGAATAAATGTTTGTGTTTTCAGGAGAGAGAGAGAAAACTAAAATGACAAACTATGACCATCTTAATTATTCTCTGACAGCTTTTTCCACTCTTTGAGCTTCATGTAACCTTTCATTCACCCTCTAAACTCATTAATTCTCCTTTAAAGTTTAAGTGTGATGCCAACATTAATAACACTGTCCAGACACTGAGCAGGGCACGACTGCAGCCTGGCAGGGAGTGAATAGACATAGCTCTTTTGGCAAAACATTGAAGTGTCAGTGAATGACTCTGAATTAATGTTCCATGAAGTTGAATTACTGCTTCGTTCCAACACAACTTTAATACGAAATGAAAGAGTAACACAAACCAGAGCATCCTTGTTAGGAGGTACACCGTCACATTTCACTCTGTCCGCAAGGCTGTTGATTTATACTCAATTAATCTAAATCTTAAACTTAAAAATCAGTAAGATCGATTTAAAAAGTGATAAAAAGTTTTAATACTTACATGTCTGTCTAGTTTTAGTTTGACTTTCTCTAAAAAATAAAAAAGCTTTCTAGTTTAACATGAACATAAAAGATTTAAAGGAGACCAATCATACCAATTTTAACCCTTTTTATGTCAAACCGAGACACCTTGGCGTGATTT